CAAAGCCAGAAGACCGCATCGCACGTGAAACGGTGGCATGAAGTGGCATAGGTTCAGCGTCCGCCAAGGCCAAAAGACCACATCGCTGTGATACGGTGTTTTGGCATGAGTTGACGACTTGAAACAACTGATGAATTTCACAATCACACTCCATACGGCATTTTGGTGGCACCAAGTAGCTAAATCATGGTTTATCCACAAAAGCCATAACACCTTATCGAATATAATAAAAAATATATTTTTGATACAAAACTATAAATGGTACAGCTAAACGCAGCGTCAAAAATGGATTGTCCTGGTACCAAAAACCATATTTCGGAAAAAATGGCCCATACGGTGTTTTGGCTTTGGACGGCAGAACTGTCTCATGCCTCGCTTAGTTGTTTTTCCGCTCCGTTGTCACGTCCGCCGATGTGTTGGCCGGTGTCTCGCTAACCCTGCCCATACTGAGCACCATGATCAGCCCCCTGACCTGACCTGACCTGACCTGACCTTACCTTACCTGACCTGTCCCCACAGCGATCGCCTGGTCTCCGCACCAGCACGGTCTGCTGGCCAGCGGCGGCGGTACGGCCGACAAGTGTATCCGCTTCTGGAACACGCTCACAGAGCAGCCCATGCAGTGTGTGGATACCGGATCCCAGGTGAGACAAGGAGGGGACAGGGAAGGTAGGGGGATGGAGGGACGAACACGCTGACCGAACAGCCCATGCAGTGTGTGGATACCGGATCCCAGGTGAGACAAGGAGGGGACTGAGGGAGGGGCAGGGAACGTAGGGAGGAAGGGAGGAGACGTGCTGACGGAGCAGACTAACTAGCAGCCGTGCATGCGGTGTGTGGATACTGGCTCCCAGGTGACACATGATAGGGAGATAGGGTGGAACAGGGAACACGTTGACCGAGCAGCCTATTAAATTATACATTGTAATCAGTAATGACATCCGGGCTCTCATAAAACGAAAACGAACAGGCGTGCGATTTTCTGGCTAAGAGCAGCGGACTTCTGCCGTTCACTCCACGACTGCAAGACCATCGATCGGTTTTTGGTAACTGATGTGATTGTGAGTTCTTCTGATGTAAAAGTACATTTCTGAGGACGTGGTCATCATTCATGGCCGCTGTCCTGTCTCCCTCCATCATCTGACCCCCCTCTCCCTCCCACCTCAGGTGTGTAACCTGTCGTGGTCGAAGCACGCCTCGGAGCTGGTGAGCACGCACGGCTACTCGCAGAACCAGATCCTGGTGTGGAAGTACCCGGGCCTCAGCCAGGTGGCCAAGCTGACCGGGCACACGTACCGCGTGCTCTACCTGGCCATGTCGCCCGACGGGGAGGCCATCGTCACCGGCGCCGGTGACGAGACGCTCCGCTTCTGGAACATCTTCAGCAAGGCGCGCAGCCAGAAGGAGTCCAAGTCGGCGCTGAACCTGTTCACCAGTATCCGGTGAAGCGGTGAGGGCATAGGAGGGCGGCCGGCGGCGCGTCAGGGCGCGGCCTGACCGACGCTATCCGCCCGGCGAATACCAAAGGCTTTAGGAGAAGAAAGGTATGACAGAACTGTATCGAGTTATTTTTGACTGGTTTTCAGCTACGAACAGCAACATTATGTTTATTTATGGTTATTTGTGTCTGAGTTGGTTTGTCGCGTGGTGTGTCGGGCGGGAGGGGGTGTTGTTTTTTGTTTCGCTGGCTGACTACGTCGGCCGGTTGCGGCGGCTAGCCGCAGTTCAGAATCTGAGTCGCTAGCGACAGAAATTGGGACGGGGCGCGGCCCGCGCCGGCGGTGGGGGTTCCCGCGGGACGGCGAGCCAGCCCACTGCGACGGCCGGGTAACGCCCACATACGTATCGTATTTCAAGTACAGATATTGTCGACATACTGATGCCGAGTTGTAATCGCGTGTGTTTATATTTCTTGCGAATATGTTTGATTGGGTTTAGTTGCCGTTAGCGCATGCGCAGATAGTCAATTCCGTGTGGTTTGCAGCGTACCGCAGAAACTGCCAGGACAATCACAGCACAACGTTTGAGTTTGTATCGAGTACGCCGAACGCCTCTCTCTTTCTCCGACCGCGAACCGACTGACCCCAACCGGGGTCGACAGGGCGGGCTGTCTAGCCGCTCAGCGTCCGTGCAATTCGAAAGCCACGCTCCCATTGTCGCGACAGTGAAGCTGGCTGGGTAACCGCCCGTTTGACGGTAATAGCAAAGCGTAACAGCTGCCACTAAAGGTTTAACTTTTTGTTCATATGACTCTCGACCATTCCTGCATTACCGTCGAGCGAAAATCCCGAGTTTGAAGCGATTGATGCGATTTCTGGTGACCCGCCGGCCGGTACCAGGCTGGCGAACCGCTGCGTTTGTGTGCGTGTGTGCTGTGCTGTGTGCATTGCGTGTGCGTGTGCTACCCTTTTTCTACGATTCACTGACGCTTTATGTCTGATAGATTTGTGGACTTATTGCGGCGATACGGTCGCGAGATGCTTACGTTAGTCGGGACTTATGGCAAATATCCGAGCGCTAAGCGTAATACAACTGACTGGCGTGCATAGCGTGTTATGGATGTGGATTGTCTCCGAGAATAGCTTTTGTAACTATCCACTACGATATGATCGTACTTCATAGCTAGTGCGATGGCAGTGGAGCCGTTTCGGCTGCGCTCCTGGCGGGGATTACGACTGCTGGGGACAGTTGGGGGGAGGGGCAGTGCTCGGCTGTGCTCGTCGGGGCTTCACGGGCTGCACGGCGGCGGCCGGGCGGATCGATCCGCCCTGGCCCAGAGTCCGCGTCCGCCGGCGGGCCGGTGATAGCCGGCGCCGGCCCGGTGCTGTGTGATGGCCCTGCGCGCCTCGGGCCGACCCGCCTGGAGTGGTGCCCTGCGAGCCAGCCCCGTGTCGAGCGGTAGGTGAGACGCCGAGCGGGACGGGACGGGGGGACTCATGGAGATCGCCGGGTGTTAGCTCGACTTGCTTATAGTACGAACTGTCATTGGTATATTTGCCCACTTTTTAAGTTTTTAAGAACTCTGAACTGGCTCGCACTTTACGTACCCATTGGTTGGCATTCCAAGTGTCCAATGTCCACGTTTTCGCCATTCGTATGCGTATTTACCGTTGCGAGCGGCCGGCAATAATCTCCCTTTGTGGGCTCTGTATTCGTGTTCTCTCGTTCTATCCTGTACCCTCTCCCCCGTGCCAAGAATAGCCGTCTCGGTGGCCGCCGGAACCGTCTAACCGATTATGCCCTGCCATAACAGCGGCTTTACGAATCGACCTGACATCCCGGTATTGTGATTGTGAAACGGTTCACCGATAGCACCTTTGTGGACGAGAACTGTGACAGTGTGGCATCGTCTCAATGCGCGTCACGAGCCTGAGTCAGCCTCCATGACTGCATCTCAGCACTGCCAGTCGCCACGCGCGTCGGTTCGCACTCTTGCCGTGCACGCGGTCACCCATAACAGCCCTGCCGTCCGCGTTTATAAACAGAGCCGCTCGCGTGCTGACACGTGGTCGCGTGTGGAGAGGCCGTCACCACAGGTGGCCGCGGGGCGCTCCGATAACGCCGCCTATCGCCGGTATCAGTGAGAAGGAACGTCGGTCAGCTGGGGCGGACTCTGTACCTTCGAACGACTGGGTGTTGATCGAGACACTGCTGGCCCGCGGGTGAGACGTGGCGACGAACTAGCTTGCATGATAAATTATCATAACTTCCGGCTTAGTGGTCGTGAAATGTGACTGGTTGCTGCTCCGTGGCCGATGATACAACTGTCAAACAGCGGCCTCGTTCAACCATCAGTAAATCGGCAGTCCGCCTTTAAATGTCGCAGCGTGATAGCCAAAGTGCGAGAGGTGTCACATTCAAGTGGCTGGTCCCGATAAAGTTCGGTACGTACGTACTTCCTGAACGTTATGTTTAATTCCGGTCAATGACGCCCTCCGCCCCCCTCCCCCCCCCCCACCGCCACAGTGGCTCCAATTCTGCCGCCGGTCCGGTGAGCCTAAGCACCCACAGTAACGCATCTCAGTCTTGACAGTGCTTCGTTAGCCGCGGCACTAGGCAACCGCGCAGCTCGCTGCTCCTGAGGTGACAACGCTACCGCGGCGAGATGAGGGACGCGATCACGCGTGAGGGAGGCGAGGCGCTGAGCACCTTTGTGGCTGCCGCAGCACAGCCGCCGCGTTAGCCGGCTGACGCCTGCGACCTGCTCTCGACGGATCGATCCGCGGGTTTCGAGCATCGGCTCGGGCTCGGAAAATCGGCAAATCCTCGAATCTCAAGGCGTGGTCGAAGAGATGTGCGCGATGCGACATGGATTGAAATCGACTGAGCGAGCCATGTCAGCTGATGGGTGGATTTCTGAAATCTCGATCGCGAGTCATGCCGTTTGCGGATAGGTCATAGCGTGTGCTAAGACCACCGACCACGGACCACGGTCGTAGAGCTAACTGGCAGCTAAGGCTTGGGCGGAACCATCTATTCCATCCGATGGGAAAATTCCGAGTAGGTGGCAGAATAAAGTCAAGTCCCAACCAATTACCATGTAAGGAAACGGCATGGCCCAAAACGACTTGGATTACCACACCTGGTGATTGGCGATTGCCTTTGCCTCGTTTCGTTCGGCCATGCCATTGAGTAGGTACATTGACATGGCGATCAAGCCGTTTTCGTGTACGCACCTCCTGACGGTCAATGCCACTGGGCCCGCCGAGTAACACCTGTCAAATACATGATTGGTAATAATGTCTATTTATTCCCTTTTTTGGAAGTGGGTAATCGCCTGAAACGCTGTGCGCCAATAATAGTAATGAAGGAGTCACATAAATGCGAACTCTGTCGATTCGTTCCCTCACATTGGTGTTCTTGAGAAAAAATTAAAGTAAAAGGGTACATCAAAACATTTGAATTATTATAAAATAATATTTCAAACAATGAATTTTTCTATTTTTTATTCATTGTTCGAAATTAGTCGGAAAATTGTTCATTACCGACTCCAAAGTATTTGTGTTTCCCCATCTCTAGATTGCCGCCATACTCTCTCTTCCTCGCCGCAGAATGTGCTAATAATGGAAGGGTGATATTTGCATGAGTTTTTCAACGGGTTTAGTGATTTATGTTTCTTTGATTTTCTTTATTTCAAATATTCCACCACTCTGGAAATGGCAGGTCAGTGAGCAATACTTACGGATCTATGATGATAAGGCGGGTGTGTTATTTTGAGACGAAAGTGGATAATTGTACATATGGGCTGTTTTTATTATATGCTGGGATTTTCCATGATTTGCATGATTTGCATTTGATTGAGGTTCCTTACTAAGTTATCTTTTCATGCCATTTGAATCATGTTACCACTTGGGCATGCCAGCTAAAAGGACTGCGTCTCGACACATGCTCGTATGCTGGCAAAGGCCTCAAATGTTGATTTGTAACAATTTCTTTTTGTCATGATGTTCTATTTGCTGAGGCATATATATTTTACATTGTTTCAGTGAAATTGGTCATTATATGATGGTGAGTATAGGAAAGGAATCATGGCCATAAAATGACACGGGTAGTTGGCGCACCCTCAAGCTCAAATCAGTCCCACGCACAAGGGGGAAAAGCTCAAAAAATTGAGCGCTCAAAATATTGAGCGTGTGACGTCAGAGGCTCCCATAGGCGTAATGCTGAGGGCTCAAAAAATTGAGCCGTTTCAGGAACACGTTTTGCAAAAGCAACTCGCAACACCTAGGGAGAAATGGCAACACCCTAGGAGAATCACTAATGATGCAAAACAGATTAGGCTTTCATATTTTTCACTGCTCAAGCTTCAATGATTGGGGGAACACCAATTTATAGGTCGAAATCTTACGGCATACCAGGATGACTTAAAAACAGGCCAATATTTATGTCGAAATTAAAGTTATTTTTTGTCCATTCACGTTTTTTACTAGGGTTCTGTTGGAAAGAGCATTTTTCATACTACCCAAAATGATTGCGACTCAATTTCACATTACCCATATCAGAGAATATTTTTCATTTGGCGGCGCCGTTTGTTTATTTCGTCGCGACGTCTCCGGTCGCGTGGTTGTCGTCGTCCTTGTGTTGAAGGTAAGTTTTTATCGTTTTAGTTATACTTAGATGTTAAAAGGTACTTTGAAAAGTTTGAATATGCTGTGATTTTAAATTTGGAAACACGTAAACGTCAATCAATTCACGTTTTCCTCGATTTACGTGCAGATAAGTAACTGTCGACGAAAGTGGCGCCATCCGATATGATGTTTTGAAGGAAGGAGACACACCATATTTACGTGAATTTTTTGTTTTTTAGTGGTCTAAGTGCTTCAAAGAGGCTGTCGATGTTTTCTTCACACAATTTTTCATTAGGTATGATGAGGTAAAAGGTAGTTTCAGTCTTAACTTTCATATAATTGACATTAAAACATATGATAGTGCACTGCTATCAGTGATTGAGTACCTTGATATTTGGCATTTCTTATTAATTTGAATGTATTCTCTATCCATTTGTCCTGATAGTAAGTGACAATACTCTGCCAATATGTTTCCACAGTTTTCACATTCATTTTCCAGTCCTTTACATAACATCACAATTTATTATCAACAAAACTCAACTCCTTCATTACTTCACAACACTGACAGCATGACAGACTGACAGTCAACTATTGTGTGTGTGAATGCTGAAACAGGATAGCCACTTTGCTGACTGGCTCATATGAAATAAGATAAAAATGATCCTTTATATCATTTCCATCTGGAGGATCGGAGTCAACGGAAAAGGAAGGCATCTTTCAAGCCTCAAGGTCTAGGCCGCCAGACGCCAGTCGGCAGTCACCACCAAATTTATAATAGATTAACTCATCATTATACTTTGAGACCCTTAGGTTACTGAATCGGCATCACATTTTCAGTTTCAATATAGTAAAGGTTTTTATTTGTATGATGTGAAATATTTTCCCGAATCAGAATTTAATTATCCCTAGGTACCTGGTAGAGGTTTCAGATTTAATGCTCATTGTTGGTGTGCAGTCAGGATTTTTTGACAGGTCCAGATAGGGAATCCTGAGCAATTTTATAGTAAAGTGGTCTCCTTATAATCACCACACATTTTATCAAAAGCATTTGCAGAATTCATTCAATGAAGAATTTTATCAATGTTGCACCCATTTCTTAGACGACCTAGGCTGCATCTTTTTTTAGTTCCTGTTGTATGACATATTTTTCATTTTGTTCCACTGCATAAAGAAAAAAATCGTTTGAGATCACCAAACAGCTTTTCTTTTTCTGGCAGGTCTGCACAACCAAGCGGTCGCTGGCGAGGACGTCGGCACTCGGGGCCGTCCCTGTGGGTAAGGTCATCTGCTCAGCCTTTGTGGAGATCAGCAAGACGTCACCAAGATGAAGACTTCGCTGGAGCAGAAGCTGCTGACCCGTGTCCGATCGGGCAGGTCATGCTCGACGGCACGAGCCACAACTTGAACGACTCGGTGACATCAACAACATGGTGGAGCAGGTGAATGAGTTTGGCAACGTATTGTGCGACTGCAAGAAGGGTTGTCTGCGTGTTCTGGCTGGCGGAGCGGCGACGCTGCGCAGTCTGTGCTGGCGGTGAGCAGCTGGCCGTGGTGACCGCGCGCGCCCACATGCGCCGACAACCTGTGCGGCTTCGACGGCCCCGGGACAGCCCGATGCCGCCCACTATGCGACGCCGACCGCGCACTGTCTGCACGGCCACATGGAGGTGTGCCCGCGCCTTTTGCCCGCACGCCGCTACCTCGCAGCTGGTCTGCAACCACGCCGTCGCCGCCTGTAGCCCGATAACAAAACGGCTGTCTGATAATGCCGCGTGTTCTTTGTGATGTGATAGGGTTGCTACTGCTGGTCTGAGACTCGATGTTTCCATTCGTCCTTTACATGTTAAGGATTTGATCATGATTAGCTTAGTCCGAGCTTAGGTCGTTTATATCATTTGTTATATGGCATATTTTGGATCAAAACAGTACGACACTGCCTCCTGCTTTTGTGATGTATGCTGGCAAGACGCAGGTTCCGGTCGCAGGTCACCCGGTTCCAATGTGGTCGGGGTGGCATGCGATAATGTGATGTTGTTTCGCTCGTCTCTGTGTTCCACACTTGATGATGTTTGTGAATCTAACCCACATTGTATAGTATTTGTTTGTTTGCGGCCGATGGCCTTGTAAGTTGTAACCGTGGCAATACAGTTTTTCCTGCTATAATTCTCCAATATTCAAGCGTGGGTGGATATCTTTCTGTATTCACGTATTCTCTTCTCCCAGTACAGTCAGAGAATATCAATACAGTATTCATACGGATTATTCAAGCCCTGTATAATTATTTGAGGTGTGCCGAATCCGAAAGGCGACCGATAAAACTACTAGCGGAAAATGTGACATGATGCCATGGGTTTGTGAAAAGTTTGGGTACCACGTAGCATTCAACTTCCTGCATTTCTGTTTCAACTCAGTTTAACGTATTTCAACGAACATAACATCAAAAATGGCAGCCAGTACCGGCTTCACCTGTCACGGAGAACGCTCAAAAAATTGAGTGTAGATGCTGGCAGGCACTCAATTTTTTGAGCGCCAGCTGACTGTCGTCTGTCGTGGCGCTCAATTTATTGAGTATCGCGGTCCCGAACGACAAGTGGCGCTCAAAAAGTTGAGCGTCTTTAGGGCATTTTCTTTCCAAAAACACCGATATAAATTATCACGGCGAGTGTTCGAGAAGAAACCTTGTTGCTCCCTCTTGCCATTGATACCTTATTTGGATACAATAGTTGCCGTAGTGTGACGCTAAAGGCATTGTAAAATACCATCGTTTCGCCTATTCCTTCATAATGGGGCCCGCTCAATTTTTTGAGCGCTCAATTTTTTGAGCTTTTCCCCCTTGTGCGTGGGACTGAAATAAACAAACACAAGTGAAAAGGAATAATCATTTAATTCCACTTGTGTTTGTGATTCCCTTAAGTTCCTACCTTTCAGTTTTTTTTGCTATAATTCAGCATTTGAGCTTCATAAGGGTCATCACTATGACAACCAGTTTTCTGTTTGTTCATTTAATATCCCACTACATAATTATGAATAAATCTCTACGTACATTTTTTGCATTAGTTCAGTATGCTATCAAGCACAACCAAGTGTGAATGGTTAAAATAAATAAGACTTCTCTAGCTTTTGGTAAAAAGTAAGCATTTTTAAGGCAAAGTTACCTACAACAATTAACAACCATGTGGATAGGTTAAAAATGAAGACATCTTTAAGATACACTAAAACTTCTGGATTTAGTAGAAACCCGCTAGGAGAAGCGTATCCTTAAAGATGTCAATTGAAACTAATTCTGTAAAATCCAGGGGATCAAATTATAGAAAGTATGGCTCTTAATTATTAATTAAAAGTTGGTCACTTGTGCATGTCAAAAGCTGCACATTTCCCCCTTCATGTAATTTAAGAAATATATTTTATATTGGCTTGGTAATCCACCTGCAGAAGGCTTGATGCATGGAAGAAAGTGTTTGTAAGAGCCTATTTAAGTATGAAAAGTTTGCAATATGCTTTTCCTCTCTGAAGTTTTTTATAGGATTACTCTATGTATTGATAGATGAATATTATTCTTATGTACCAGTTTTTTTCCTTTGCAAATATCTGATCTCATTTACCACACCAAGTACGTTACTTGCACCACTGTGTTAAGTGTTTTTTTGTACAGTTTTTTTAAATACTCTTTTTACTTATTGTTTAGGGCACTGTTACCATTCCCATGGAATCAACAGTGTTTGTTCTGGGGGTTCTCACATTTCTTTGTATTTCTGAACCTACATGGGAGTGAAAGTGTATAGCAACCTTATCCTGCAAAATCAGATGCTATTGCTGATGTTGGTGTAGTTGTTGGCTTCTTTTTATCATTCTCTGGAGTGAAATTGCAAGGTGTATGTATTGTAAAGAATTTGTGGTTTGCTGTTTCTTTTTTTCTTTTTTTTTGGTGGAAGGAGATGGCATCAATTTAACAAATGCTTTGATGCCAGGAATTGACTCTTGCTGATTTATGATCATTGTAGTTTATTGTAAAGCTGTTATAGGTTTGGGTAGTTTAGACTAGGTCCAGCCAATGGTCTTCTTGTGTCCAAATCAGTTCATTGTGGTAAGAAGTGTCATGTGAAGATGTTGGTGTGTTAATTTCTGCTTTCACAAAATCATGGTTTTTCCTTTTCCCCACTCCCACTGACTTATTTTCCTCATTCCAGGGTGGTAGTGGCGACATTTTGCACTCTCAATGATGTACTTCTGTTATCCCAGGGGTGATGGTATTCCACACTGACACACTGCTCTCTGATTTCAGGGGGTGGTGGCATTCCCCAGTGGTGTTTTTCACAAGTGAAGGGAACACTAGAGGATGAGATTCATGATGGTAAGTACCAGCAGCTGACTGCCAGACAGCTGAGTTCATCTTCACAGTTCATTTGTTGTGTTTTACTCAGCAATTTGTCGAGACTAATGCTGTATGCTCAAAATTGTAGTGTTCATTCCTCAAGCATTTAATCTGTAATTGTTTAGTAAACAATCAGACTTTTTGTGATGCTCTCTGAAGGGACGCTGGTGACCATCGTAGTCCGGGCGCCCCTCGACAATTCCCAGCCCATATCATTATTATTATTATCATCATCATCATCTGAAGCACAATAAATGTTGACTTTTGGTACTGTTTATGTGTAGCATTGTGACAATATGTTGGTGGCTATAATTGGTGGGTGCTGTGCCAATCTTCTCCCCAGCTGTGGTGTGTAGTGCATTGAAGAAGGTACAGCCCCCTAACAGGACGGACATTTTCCGTTCCAAGCCATCACACCTCCCTGTAACACAGGCTGAAATCCAGCCTCTATCTTGTCGCCAAAATATCCCCACCACTGCCAGAATGCCAGTCCTCCAGTGTAGAGAGTCGCCTGGTCCCCGACTGACAGACTGTACTCTGTCTGGTGGTACCGCATTCCGAACGACCGCTGACGCCTCGACCCAATCCGTCACTGGCCACCTGGTGGTGACCCAGTACAACACCACTCTGACCTTTCGCTAGCTGTGCTCTGACCCCGGCAGCATTGATTATTGCTGACGGGACGGACAGTGGCAGTGACGAGCGCCCGCGACTTGCAGCCTGTCTGTGCCTATTCCTTCCTGTTTGTGGCTGATCTGTGGCATCCAGACTGCCCCTGCCCATAGCTGCTCTTCATGACTGGTTAGGCTGACCTTTAGTGCTCTGCTGACCCGGCCCTATCTTCGACTGACCTTTCTTCCACGCTCCCTCCCATGACTGTGGCCGACCGTCATTGCCGCAACTCATCACATTTACCTGTACCACTCCATGCTAACCCACCCCTTCCTCGCTCTCCGCAGAGGACATCATCTCATGTATGGAGTTCGACCACGATGGTGAGCTGCTGGCTACGGGTGACAAGAGCGGCCGAGTGGTCATATTCCAGCGCGACCCGCAGTCCAAGACGCACAAGCCGCCTCGCGGCGAGTACAACGTCTACAGTACGTTCCAGTCACACACGGCGCGATTCGACTCGCTCAAGTCGCTCGACATCGAGGCGAAAATCAACAAGATCCGGTGGCTCAAGCGCAAGAACGCCGCCCACTTCTTGCTCTCGACAAATGGTGGGTAGAGAGGCGCGGATAAGGGATGGAGAGAGGGATATGGATGATAGGATCCGTGGCTCTGACGGTCAGACGGTAGAGGATGGACCGTCTCTAGAGAATATCGCGCGAGAGAGAAAGCAAGAGACAAGCCTGTGATCCGTGAATTTCAGTGGACTGCTAGAATGTCGATCATTTCAGGGTGGTGTGCCTAAGAATGACGATACTCTTCTACCAGGAATGAAATAATATTTTCCCTGATACACACCGTGTCGACTAGTGTATCGATTCTCACGACCGTGACCCATTATATAACCCTCAGGCGATAACCGTGTGCCCCTCGTTCACAGACAAAACAGTGAAGCTATGGAAGGTGTCTGAGCGGGACAAGCGGGAGGTGGGCTTCAACACGCGCGAGGACAGCGGCGTCCTCCGCGACTACAGCAGTATCACCTCACTCAAAGTACGTCCCGGCGGCCGGGCCGCGCGCTCAGCGCCTCCCCGGCGGTCGCCGCTGTTTGTGATGGCTGGTCTGGGAGAGAGGGCTGGTTTAGGTGGTGAGGGAGACTAGGGGGGCTGGAAGAGACTAGCAATGTAACTGATCTGATCATTGAATAGATCTGGATAAAAAGGAGGGGTGTGATAGTAACTGGTAATGCCGATAACTGCCACCTGCCTTTACTGGGTGGTGGAAAGCGGCTCTCTGAAAACTGCAGTGGAGTTCCTGTTGCTGTCCATTGCCTGTATTTTATCCCCACGTTGTCTTAGCTAATTCGCCTTTTCTCGAAGTTCTGAATTCTTAGCCTTTAAGACCCTGCTGGTCTGTTGAGAGAGCATTTAGACTAGGATTTGCGAACTTTCCTTTGTGAGGAGCGGGGTCTTTTCACTAGCGCCAGTCTTGTGAAAGTTAAAGCACGTCACCGCCTTTTGTTACGGCAGTGCTCAGTGAAGCGATCTTTATAACGGCCAACCTTTTATTTCTGATAAAGAGAGAGAGTTGAAAAGAACAGCAAGAAATATTGAGCTGCGATCTATCGGCGAAAAGTCTCAATTCATCACCTTTTTTATTGTCCTGTTAGGTAGCTTTTTCATAATGTTCATTTTTGAAATGTCAAATCGTTATCCTTTACCATCAGGAATGGTCAGAAATTTGTGAAATCAGCGTTTATCGATACGAAGTCTCGTATAATTGTTTTATTGCGATGGCAATCACCAACCGGCGCCTTTTTGTTCATTAGTCGTGTCTGCACTATAGAAACCCGTGTTTTTCCATCACTGTAGCTATCTGTTTCAGTTGCCGTGCGTTGCGTTTTGATACGCACTGCTATTGGTTTTACTACAGCCTCAGCCCACATCTCGCAATCTCGCTATCTCTGGGCCGTGCATGTTTGGGCGATTAACCGGCGGTCTTGTTGCGCGGCACGCGGCACGAGTGAGCGCTGCAGACCGTGTGACGGAACGTCTAGACGGTGCTGCGGCCCGGTGCACACTGCACACACCCCACAGCTATTCTGCGACGGTACACAGTAGTCTACTCCGATACGGTCGGGTAGTGTACCCCTTAGTGCGTCATGGCTGGTTGACTGCCACTGGGCGGTGGGTTAGTGTAGCTGAGCTGTTTTGATCGCTGAAGTGGTCCTCTTATCGGTGAAAACAAGGAGGAAATGGTTTACAGTCGTTTGACTTCAATTAGCTCACGTAACACGTCCTGCCCTGCTGGTTATTTACCTTGTCAAACTATAAATGCGTGTGGTGATGGTATACTAAGTCCTCGCGGAAGTCATGCAGGGACGGGGATGATGCCCTGCCTCACTCGCAGCTATGATATACGATTTCAAAAGGCTCGCTTCGGCGTCAGTGTGCTGACGATGTTGTGTCAGTGAAGATTTGTCGCGGTGCCGTAAATTTTCTGAGCGCCCGGCTGGTGTCGATAGCTGCCAAGCTGTCAATCTCTGTCCTATTCGCCCCGGCGGTAGTCTCAGAGGTCGTCCTATCTGCGTCATTTTGTCGGTCAGATGTGTTAAAAATTTAAAGGGTATTGGGGAATTTAAGTCCTATTTCCCCGTCGGCACTACCACCGCGTGGGGTGGGCGGTGGCCGCTTGGGACTGTCTGTAACTTCCAGACATTTCCACTTGCGTGCGACGTGTCTGACCCATCCTGACCCCAACCCCTCCCTCACTTACCGCGGTGGCCACCAATTCCTGTCTGTGACCTGTGTTCACGTTGCACTCCTGCAGTTACCGCGTCGGGCGCCGATGACCCTCGTTTGTGACCCCTGCTGACCCGCCCCTCCCCCTCAGGTACCACGGTGGGCGCCGATGCGGCTGACGGTGAACGCGTGTCCGCGGCGGAAGTTCCGCAACGCCCACGTGTACCACATCAACTCCATCAGCGTCAACTCCGACCAGGAGACGTTCCTCTCCGCCGACGACCTGCGCATCAACCTCTGGCACCTCGAGGTCAACGACAAAAGCTTCAGTATCCTTTGCGACCGCCCGATGGCGCTGCCTGCCCGCCGAGGCAGGCGGAATGTGGAGAGGAAAATGCAGGATGGCTGGATCTCAGAATCACCCATTATGAAGATGAATTCTGTTTGATGGGATTGATGGAAGGGGATTGTAGGGCATTAAACAGGATCTTGGAAGGTTTCATTTCAGCCGGTTTTTCGTTGCTCGAAGTCGAACGTCAATTACTTTCAGAGCCCGTAGTTAGTTTGAAGATGGGCGAATTGAGAGGGATGCCAAAAGTGCTCTCTGTTTAAAAGTTATGCTTCACTGCTAAATCTAGGAAAAGATGCCCAGACAAGTGATCCAGCATAAGACGATATATATCTTTCAAATAATTCATTGTTCAAATTTGAGCCAGTGAGCATGAATCTTGCTTTAGTATTGTAATATTTTTGTCATTTACGTAAGTCTCTTTGTAAAGCATGCACGCAGTGTCAGCTTACCACCTCTACACCATATACAACAGCCACAGTCCTTTTCTATCTACCTAATTGAGCTTGGATTGCGGCCGCATTCACCGCACGATTGATTCATTCCCCCTCCTGAGCTAACCCCAGTAACACTTACCGTGTGTAAGACTGCCCTCCCTGCGTACCCCTCGGTCAGTGAACCGCTGTCCATCTCCCACCTCCTCCGTGACAGTCGTGACAGCCGTGACAGCGTGCGTTGGTTTCCTTAACCGTCCGCTGCGCGCTCTCAGACATTGTAGATATCAAGCCGAGCAATATGGAGGAGCTGACAGAGGTGATCACGGCGGCTGAGTTTCACCCCACCGAGTGCAACCTCTTTGTGTATAGTAGCAGCAAGGGCACCATCCGGTTATGTGATATGCGCCAAGCTGCCCTGTGTGATAAACATGCGAAAAGTGAGTACCGGGGGAGAGAGGGGGGCGGGTCCAAGGGATGTTCGTCGATAATTTACCAGCGACGGTTTTCGTTCGAGATTAGATTAGTTCTCAGCATTGTTTTTACTTTTTCCTGTTCTGAGAGTCGTGTAAATTAATCCCATTTGTCACTGATCGTAACAGATGGAACTTTTCAGCTGCCAATGTGTTGGTTGTATCAACTGGTGTTTTGCGTCGGTGACCCGTGCTGCATCTGCGAAGAGGCCCGTGTGTAATGTACGCTTAACTTTGTTGATTAATTATTTTTGTCTGCTGTCGACGTTTTACCCTTCCTTGTGGGGCGGGGCTTTTTCGCCTCCCTTTACATCTAAACCCGTCGTACTTTGCATCGTGTTGTATGTCTGTTCTCTAGTAACTGACCCGCTGACCTCACCCTGCTGGAATATCGGCTCTCGACATGGGTCAACATCGCTAAGTTCCCTCGTGATCGTGTCAGCCGTTGGGTGGCGCCGACATCCTCTCGTGGGCCGCTGGTATATGGCGGCATGGCTAGCCGCTGGGTGGTAGATGCCTTTCCGAGGGTTGGAGAGGATGGGCGCCTGCTAGCTGCATCTCTGCTGCCGTCTAGGTCCGGCGGTGGATCTCAGACACGGGCCAGGTCTAACCAGACCGGGCGGTGAGCTGCCGGCCTGTTGCCGGGTCTGGAGCCGGTGTAGGTACCGGTCGGACCGTGGGAAGGCGGCGTCTGACGCCCACCAGGCCGACAGGGCACCGACAGCTCCCCGCGCCGACCGGCCGTTCCCACAGCCCACCGGACAAATAGCCGAGAAATATGGCCCACTGTGTTTAACGGCGCCGTGACTCAGTGTGGCAGGCCGCAGCTGCTGCTGAAACGGCCGACAGCTTTGGTTTCTTGGTTGTTTGCGAGAAGAGTAGTCTCACTATTCCTGTGGCGTCCAGGAGGACATTGCTTGCAGCACCATGATGAGCTGCAACTTATGTGGAAGATGTAACTTGAGATGTAGCTCTACTTCTCGTCTGGCTAGTTTGGGAAACTCTAGTGTTATTTGGGATATCATCTCTGACAAATTGTAGTTGAATAACTATTAACTACTGACACCTGAAGCCAACATCCCATCACCAAGACCTTGTGGTTGACCTTGTACTGGTCGTGTACGTACAGTGTACAGTGTACAGCTGTAAGAGGTCCTTATTGGTGCGCTTTGCGACTCTAGGTTTGTTTGCTTCTTGATATGGATTGTCCCCGCTGCTGCATCACTTGAAGTGCACTGTATTCTGGGATGGGAAGCCATACATGACCGTTCACTGAATTGACGGCAATACCATATTTGCCGGGGATAAAACGGGACACGATCCCTCGGCTACATGCTACCGATAGTGTGGGTTGCATCAGGCAGCCGTTTTTGTTCGATGAAACGTCCATCGAAATTCGCCGCCGGTCGGGAACGGGTGCGCAATTTGCGCCTGGGTGCGGTGTCCTTGGCTGAAAGTGCCGCCGGGACGACGCTCGGAGCCGGCACAAATAAAGCCGTCAGCTAATTTGTGACCGTCCATGACTGGGGCGGCGACTCGGGCCGACTGTAAATGAACGCCGGCCGTTTGTGTGGCGAGGTGAAGCGCTCCGACTCTGTGCGACGGCGCAGATCTGTCAGTGACGGCCGGCCGTCGGCACCCGCCGGCGGACTGGCCGGCTCAAATCGGCGCCCGGGCGGGGCGGGGTGACCGTCTCCGACGGAGGGGCGTCCTCCGCCCGTATTGAGCGGCCCCGACTGGCAGAAAGTGGTTCATGGTCGCTCCGCTGGCCGCGTTATGACCGGCCGCCGGCCGCCGGCGGCGGCAACTGAAGCATGGCGGCTCGGCGGATCGGCCAACTGCAGTTGATGACCGCGATGCTGGGAAGGCAGACCGGCGAAAGAGGGCTGAAATGGTTGGTACAGAAAGGAGTGGATGTGCTGGTCTGACGTATACACCTCTCATTTACCGTCTTAGTTGAGTTTTAGTGTGTCTTAGATCACGGGACGTGACGTTTATGTCTCAGTGGATTATGTCCTATTTGTGTTCCTGTGGTGTTGATGAGACACATGAAGTCCACTTGTGGCTGTTGGACACTCAGGGAGACAGCTCGTGCCCCTCCCCGCCCTACGCTGTAGCGCCCCTCCTACCAACTTGGCTGACTGGCCCAGCCCGTGCCCTGACTGACCGAACATTTAATCTATCCCGTTCTGTTCCGCCCGGCCCTGCCCCTGTCATTACCCTAACGTACCCCTTCCACCCACCCGACTGACCTGCCCCGCCCTGACCGCCCGTCGCAGTGTTCGAGGGACCCGAGGACCCGTCGCGGAGCTTTTTCTCGGAGATCATCTCGAGCATCTCGGACGTGAAGTTCTCCAACTCGGGACGCTACATGATCTCGCGAGACTACCTGTCGGTGAACGTGTGGGACATGAAGATGGAGTCGAGGCCCATCGAGACGTACCAGGTAAGCGGGCCTGCGTCCCGAGAACACCCCTCTCTCCTCCATAAGAGCTCGACAAGCTTGGAAGCTTTTCAGGAAGAGTGAAGGATAGGGTGAATTCGCGGAGGCAGAAATAACCGGTCTTAAGTTGCAGGGATTGTCAAATGTCGGAATTTTACAAGCGGACCAAAATCGATTTGGTTTGGTGATATCCCAGAAACGACTTCAGATGCTCGGTCTGGGACGATTTTCAGAAGGACGCCAGACTGATTTGTTGCCTGGTTTCGTCTAATGTTAGCAATATTTTAGAGTCGACGGTGATGTCAAAATGGTCGGGATACATTGCTTATAAATGGGAGTGATTTGCATGATGTAAATTTATTCTACCCATTCAGACAATTCTCGGGTTAAGACAAGTGAGGTTGGATATAGCACTTCGCTTTGATGGGACACTTCCCGGCTCGGTCGAGTTGTGACATAAGAGATGGTAAGAATTAATTCAGCTAGTCCACAGGCTGCTTCGGTCCACACGAAATGAGTGCTTCTATTCCAGTCAGTAATAGTCTGTGTCCCAAATTTGCCAGTTTTGGGTGGGAAGTGTCATCCAATCGAAAATAATTTTCCATTCTCACCCCCAACTTTTCACAGCAATTTTTCGCTCCCAATTGTACCAATAAAGAGCACTTGCATGTACGTTTGCTGGCTGGCTTTCACCTACCTCCATATTCCATTAAATTATCTTATAAAGCAGCTCCCACGTCCTCCAACGTTCACAAATAAACTGATGATCCGTATTTTCCGCCTTTTTTGTGCCTTTCTCACTGGCAATTTTCCACTCTCAGCCCTTTTCGCAGTGAGGGATATCCCTCAGAGACCCAAGCCCGAATATAAGATTGAGACGCTGGTAATAGTTACTTGCTTTATTAGTGTTTCATTTAGTTTGTGCGCTTGGTCCGTCCGCTTTGGCGCAGAGTTGATGCGTCGATCGATCTAAACTGGCCGCCAATCTTTGGTTGATCCATGCAGCATCACCCCATCCCAGCCGTCCCAGACTGTGACTGTTTCCAGCTGAGGTTCCATGAGAAACGGCAACGCAGTCGTTTTATACATAGTTCATCTCCCGCAGTTGTTTCGCAACCGCCTATTTGACGTCTGCCGTGGTTGGTCCCATTATACCCAACGCCCCCACGTGTCCGGATAATCCGTCGGATCTGTATGCCGGTCTGCGATACCGGACGTCCGGCCCCTGACCCCGGCGGGCCGGCCGACGTCCTGTCAGAGGTCAGTGCCGTCCTCTCATCGTACCGGCACGTCGCCGCCGGCCCAGTTCCTTATCGTCGTCCGGGGACGGACCGTTTGTAGAGGCTACCCACCCGCTCTGGTTATTTACCGTCGCCGTGGGACTGATACGGTCGCTGGCTGTGCGGTACGACGGCCGCTGGGGACTGGCTGAGGGACCGCCGTCAGTCAGTGACACTCAGCGACCGGCGGAACAGTTCGGGAAGTCAGCCGTCGGCGATGGCTGGAGGTCTCCCTCGGGGTGTCGTCCCTCGGTCGGTTTCTGGGCTCAGCTCGGTCCGTCGACATTCGTCGGCCCACGGCGGGGTCTGTGACTACCGATCGGCACGTCCGGCGCCGGCGGGCACAGTCATGAGTTACCGGCGCCGCCTCCGCCGCCGCTGTCGTCTGGCGCGGCCCGGAACCGGGCGGGCCACCGGTCGGTCGGAGGGAACAGAAGAGTCGGAACCGGCGACCCTGGCCCCGGCCAGCCGGCGCCGAGCTGCTCCGAATGGCAGACGGTGGCGACTGGGTCAATTTATGGGGTGTCTCGCGCCCCGCTGGCCGACTTTTTCTGTCCATTTTGTCTGTCTGGAAACTGGCGACACCAAAATGGTAGCCGTTAGAAGAAATCTCTGGTGGTTATTGTGAGTTATCGGTGTTTATGTGGGGCGTTTCGCCACTAATTCTTCTTCGTTTGGTCTTTATTGTAGCTAAGGAAGAGTGAAACGTTTTATTAGGTGTTAAAAAGTGCGACATCAACGTAACGGATGGCCCAGATATTTTGGATCGCGGAGCAGAAAGCATTTTCTGGCGGAATATCCGCCGGTGTGGTTTTCTCCGGTACTCACTCGCTTCATTACCCGGCTCCCTGGGGACATTACTCGGCCCCATTGCCGCGGCTTCGCCTGCGCGCTGAACGCCAAGAACACTGGCCTAGAATAGCTTGGCAACGTCTAATTTGGGCGTGCCGCTTTTGTGAAATTATTTAATCCACCAGTATGATCCAACGAAAAGCGCTCTCTTCACGGACCTCTTTCAAAACGCTATTTTCGTTTATAAGCTCGGTCTCTTTAGATGTGGGCACCCGGGCTTTACTCCGTGCTATTTAAAACTGCTGTCATTTGAAACCTTTGAAGTCATGAAACTCATACGTCAGGTGGCCCGAAATACCATGCCGTCGCCCCCAAGCTGTGCCTGGCTGTGACAGGTCAGGTCCGCCCGGGCCGGCCACGTGACTTATGTCACAATGTTTTGTCGGGGGTGGACCGGATGCTTAGCTCTTGGACGGAATTTGTACGACTGGGGAGTGAAGCGATGTGGTGATGAAATTTCTCTCGTTTTCTGCAACTTTCAAATGTCAGTTTCATTGAAATGCCGGCTGACGATGACTAGCGCAGTCTGTGCGCTCTATGGTCTAAACCCAAGCATAATCTTTTATTAGCATCACTGTGTGATGTAGTGAATAGTATAATTGATCTGCCACATGCCATGCTGGTATTCTTGAACGTGTCGTATGTTTTCTTAGTAGCACTATCGCCCTTTCATAGTCTTCGCAGCTGTCAGTCAGTGCCACTCCACCCCGGACCTCTGTGCCTCTGGCCCTGCTCTGACACTCTGACATCCGGCAGGGGCGGGCTCTAATGCGGCCCGCGCCGCCGCCGTGGGCGGGTCTCAGCTCTATGCCGGTCCCTGGGGTGCATACTGAGCGCGCCCCCGCCCCGCCCGGTCGGCGGGCGGCGGCGGTCGACCGGGCGCACCGGCAGCTCCCGGGCGGCGCGCTCCCCCGGGCCGCCGGCCTGTCGTTGGCAAACATGTTTTGCAGCATCCGACAAAGTGCGGCCGAATTAGAGAAGTGGCGCACACCGGTGCCGGAGAGACGGCCGCTGGCGCATTGTGGCAGGTGGAGCCGGCATTGATCCGCGCTCAGAGTCGGCACGCGCCGGCCGGCCGGGCGGCAGCGGACCGCCGCCGCCGCTCCAAACTGCGGCTCGGTGCCGCAGGAAAACTGGGGAGACAGACGAGCTGCTGAGGCTCGCCGGCGGCGGGACACTCGACGGGAGATGCTCGACTAAACGAGTCGAGTGGGAACTGCGAGTCTCTCCGAACAGACGAGGGACTGACTTTGAAGTTTGTCGCATAACCAGAGTTCTGGTTCTGCACCGGTTACCCGCACACGCCTTTTCCGAACTGTACGGCAGTGGCGCCCTCACACAGCAAGCCGGTGGCGGGCTCTGGTGGATGCCGTCTCTCTCTCTCTCTCTCTCTCTCTCTCTCTCTCTCTCTCTCTCTCTCTCTCTCTCTCTCTCTCTCTCTCTCTCTCTCTCTCTCTCTCTTTCTCCCTCTCTCTCCCTTCTCTCTCTCTCCCTCTGCCTCTGCCTCTGTTTCCGCCTCTCTCTCTCTCTCGCTCTCTCTCTGTCTTTCTCTCTCTCTCCTCCCTCCCTCTCTCTACCATCGCCGGCGTCATCCTGTCCAGCCGCCGGTCGTTCCATCAGAGGTCCATTGGACTCCGTGAGGGGTAACTGCCGCTCTCATCTGGTCCACGAGCCAATGTGCCTGTCATGAGGCTCCTCGGCCTGCTGGCTGATACCTACTGTCGCCAACAGCGGCCACACACGGGGCCGGAATGGGGGATGATTCGTGTCCCATCGCGGCTGCTGGTCAGGTCGGACCACACTCTGACGGGATGAGGGTCGTGCTCGGACGGCTGAGATGTGTTCGGCTGATGCCTGACGACAGCCACAGGGCGGTGCCTGGGTTCTAACAGCGTGACTGACACGGTGGGGCTTGTCGGGCGGTGGTGGTGCCTGATTTCAAAGGAAGGAGGGAGGAAGGTAGGGAGGGGCCCTGTGCGTTCCGGAAAGTTTGGCTTTGAGTGGTCTTATCCGATTGGCTGATATGGCCATGGCACACAAGGTTGGCTGCGCTATTTTTGAAGTGGACGTGTTTGCAGTGTGCGATGTTTTAGCGGCTTTGCGTTGGGCACATCCGTGATGGTCATTGGAGAGGGCTCAAAGTGACCGCTCGGATATTAAGTTGCAACTGATTAGTGCATATTTCGTTGATAATACTTCGCATTAAATTGGAATTCGCAGACGTTCGGGAAGGCCAGTGACCTGTGTGGATCGCGCGGGGCCGTGCTCCTGCCTCGACAGCCATGTCCGGACCTTGATTGACGGCACGTCACGGCTTCAAAGGTGCCGTGACCTTCCGCCCTGTACGCATGGCTCGCGGCGACGTCAGCGCCGGGCGGCCACATCAGTTTGTCGCGCCGCTGACGTCACCGACGCGACGCGACATCGTCGGCGACATGCCGGCCGCGGTCGGGGCGCATTAGTTTTTCGATTTATGTCGCTGCGTCGCTGGCGGCCGCCCAAATGACTCGGCTGCAATTTGACTGGGGCGGCCGTCGGCTGGCGCCGCCCTCGCTCTGGTCTGCGGCGCTCCTCTGCCCTCAGGAAGAGGCCCCTCTGCTGGCGCCCCGCTCACCCCTCTGCAGCTGTTGCTAGTGCGTGACAGCAGACTTACTAGCTGACGTGCGGCTCAATGTGTTTCTTAGAGATATCTAGCTTTAGCTGAAAAGTTTTTCTCCAGTCCGTATCTCGACCCGGCCGTATTTTTCCGTTCTCCATTTTACCGTATGTTTTTGTCGCTCGCTGGCTAATGATGCCACGGGAGTTGTTCTCACCCTGGTTTGGTTGAGCCAATCTGAGCCGGGCTCCTCTCTGTTGGTCGCTGCGCCACCC